ACTTTGGCATTCTCTGCATTACTAGTATAAATTCTACTGTTTTCTTTTAGTAACAAACTTCAATTGTCTGGTGCCTGCTTTGGAAATACTTACAAGATAGCTCTACCTTGCTGTCCTTTCCTTTGCATGCCATATATTTTTTCCCTTGTATTCATTGTCTATAATTTGTCATTTATTTTCGTTACTGTCAGCTTCCACTTCCTTTTTTCCCCCCATTTCTTACAGACTATTGCTGTGGTGGCTAATTCCTGGTTTGCCTTCAAAGTCAGGCCCTTTTTTTTTTGCCAGGGTAATCTTTCACGATTGTGAAATTACGAGTTTTGGGGCATCTCGCAAAATACTCTTAAATAGCCCCCAATTATCATTGGCATTTCCTGTTTAAAATGCACAGGGCCACCTAGTGAACAATGAGGAAGAGCAAAATATGGCCCATACCCATTTTGTACTTTGAGTGAGGCCAGGCTGCTCTGGAAAAAAGACTATATAATCATTTGATTAACCCATAATTAAAGACTTGGCCAACTGTGGTTGCATGAGGGGGCTGAATTAAAGTAACCAAGGCAATCTGAATTCTTTCATTTTCCAAAATTTTGCTTGCTTGACTCTAAACAGTAATGTTGTAACTTGTGTGCGTGTGAATGTAATTTTATGCAAATCCCTCAAGAGCGTGTCTTGTCCTCACCCCGCAGTCTTTGAGGCAGAGGAGAAATGCAGCGTTGCCCTAGCTGTGAAGGGTCGGCAGAGCTGTTTCACAGTTGCTGATACTGCCCCAAGGCAACTGTTGGCTCTCACCATGCACAATTCCTGCAAGGGGATGCCAGCAATATTTCCATGTACTTTAGGAATATTTCCTCCCATCCTTTTTTTCCTGGGGCTATGAGAATGCAGAAATGCTCAAGGAATTACAGTGCTATAAATGCCCTTGCGCCAGATCCTCTGCTGTCGCCCACATTCTTCTCCCCGTACAGCACAAACGTACCAGCTCCACTGGTGGGGCTGGAGAGGCAGGAAACAGAAACTTGGCCAGGTAGGCAGCAATTCCAGGACTAACTTTGTTACATATGGAAACAAATGTGTGATCTGTTTTAACAGGTGGGTTTTGAATGCACATTGATCCAAATAAGGTTCAAATCCTAATGCAGAGGCAGTTTGTCGTTTTATGGTTTGCATTTGCAAGGTAAATCCCTTTAGGTAGAGTGTTTCTCAACCAGAGAGGGGCACTCCATTCCCAGCATCTAATCAAGTGAGCTGCTGCTTATGACAGTTTAAGCATCTCCGATTTAGTTAGTCTATAAGGTGCGAATCTAGCCTGCCTTCTCTCAGCAAGCTTAAAACAGAAAAACTGCCTTGTGTACCCTAAGATTTTGGCATGTTAAAAAGACATTAAGGGAACAAAAAGTTATGAAGAATGGGGCACAAGAAGGGAGAGCGTTTTTTCTAGAGGAGGAGAGGGCCGGCTGCTCAAGACACTTAAGAGTGGGATTTTCTAAAGTAAGCAGCATTGGGCAGATTTCACGGAAGTCTGTAGCATTGCAGAGTCCTTTTCTGTAGGGCATGTTTCCTTGAGAGTTCCCTGCAGCAGTCTAGGAGGTCTTCATCCTCGGCCTTTATTTACAAGGAGAGAGAAAGGAAGCGAGCAAGGTAGAGATGGGTTTTCATCACTCAAAAGCAATAATCTATTCCATTGCCAGTTGTGCAGGCAGGAAAAGATCGCAGCTTCCTCTGACTTGGCAGCTTGTCTCCCCAGCACTGCCAGTAATAGTTCAAAGGGATGTGGGACAGTTCAGACAGATCCAACTGAATACCAGGAGTAGTGGCACCAGCTTTACACAATTATGCTTCTGGCCACACCTGCACTTTAAATCTGGTTAAATTTTGAGTGCTTAGAGCATCAGTGTGTCCCTATAAAAATGACTGTTTGTTAGGCTCTCATTCCACGATGGAGCAACTTTTAAAAGTGGTGAGTAGTTTTAAGCTAGCAGGTCTCAACCTTTTTAGACTCAAAGACCCCTTCGGAAAACTCCAGCTCTTCGCTTTCACTCATTTTTTGACTAGGGGAAAAATAATTCCTCTGTTGCAAAGTACTCGGCCCACAACAGGCCAGAATGTTTTTGATGCTATCGATGCCTCTTTGAAATCTCTGGATTTATCCTGTGAAGCATATGGAGGTGTTTGCATACCTAACGTGCTAGTATTGCGTGGCACCCCATAGCACCTTGATTGAGAATCGCTATGTTAAGACATACCTTTGTGGAGGAAGGTAAACATTTACAATCCGGGGCCCACTCATTCAAGAAATGATTGAGTGCTGTCATTGTAGAAACACAAACATGTTGAAAACCTGTTTGTTAGCCAAGAAAAAAAACCCCAAGCATATGGTTTTATTTGTGTTAATGTAGTGTCAGACTCATAGGCAAACTGATTTCCATATGCAATGTAGCTCATTCAGGGTAGGGGCACAGTGGCGGGCGTTTGCTGAATATCTGGATTTTACACTGAGCATCAAAGCTAGTACTTCAGTGGGATGAATGGTGGCAGTCCTCTTCCCAGCTGTTTCAGCTGATATACAGCTGTCTCAGGAAACAGCTGCATTTCCGTCCTCTTGTGTTTCAAATCAGCTTCATCTTTGTAAGCATATGAGCTTTATTTTACAGCATTTGAACTTGCAGTAGGAGCCAGGTAGATAGCTTAACCAGAAATAATTGTCCTCCAAAGAGGGAGCTTTATACTGATGAATTCAAGAAATACTGAAATAATGACAGTTGTGTTTGGAGTGAATGAAATGGCTATTTTATGAATTCTGGACCAACTGCTTTGGGACTGAGGAAAGCAGCTTGTATTAGTCATGAACTAATGGTCCATCCAAATGGACACTGTTCTCACAGTCAGCTAATCTCTCTCATAACTTTCCCTGCATTTCCCAACTTCTCTCTTTTTTTTTTTTCCTCCTGTCCCATCTTATAACAGAAAACTCCTTTCCTTAACACAACTCGGATAGTAACTTCTGTACCCTAACAGTTGTTCTTTAATGAGTAATAATGCTGTAAAAAAAAAAAAAAGCAATCTTGGGACCACCTAACTTCTGCTGTCAGACTACTATTTTGTCACTTTAAATTGGAGAGAGATTTTTCTCGAATGAACCCACTGTGTGGCATTAACTGTAACTGCAGTATAAATCATATTCCAAAGTGGTGAAATCACTTGGCCTATATACTTTGGTCAAGGCCAGGAAACCAACTTATTGGCACTCTTAATTCCCCAGAATGGCAGTAAAGAGAAGTTATTTTTATAAGATATAAGTGTGCCTGAACATGCAGCAAGAACGCCCCTTCCATGCACTTCTGAAAGTTTTGTGAATCTTAAATGCAAGAGCTGAAATAGAAACGGTGCTTCCTCAGCATCTCTCGCTTCTCGTTGGAACGGAGCTGAAAAGCCAGGTTGCTACATAGCAGGTTTAAAGCCGAACTTAAACCTACCAGACACCATGGGCATTTATACATATACATTTTTGTGCTTGGACCCGCTGGAGATCCAAGACGCTGGAGCAGACTCAGTTAATGGAGTCTGCCCCGTAGACGAGCTGACGTGCACTGCGCTGCATCGCTTGCTGTTGTATAAGAGGCAAAATGCGCATCAGCATGGAGGAAATGGCGGTGGTGCACTTCTGAACTAAAACACCGCCGTTTTCTGCGTGCTGACGCACGTTGCCCCACTTACACAACTGTAAGCAATGCAGCTCCAGACTCTTTTCAAAGCACCCAACGCTGCAGCACTTGTATATGTAAAAATGCCCTACATGCTTTAAAGTAATATGCTTTTTTTCAGTATTGATGGTCTTGTACACCGGAAATAATCAAATAACCCCACTTAATATGCATTGACTCGACTTGCGTTTTTTGTAAAGTTCCCCCCCCCCCCCCCCCTTTTTTTTATAAGGCGGCCAGCTCCTGTTTTTTTTTCAAAAGCCCCCCCCCCCCCCCTTTTTTTTTAAAGGGGCAGTCAAGGTAGAGGCCAAGAACAGAGGAAAACTCCATATTTCTTCCTTTTCAGCAACAGCTGAGATTATTTGGGGGTCAGACTCGATGATTTGGGGGTTGGACTCGATGATCTATTGAAGTCCCTTCCAACCCTAACATTTATGAATCTATGACTTTGAACACACTCGGGCACCTTGGAAATTACTAAATAAGAACTGCCTGGCTTCTGGGTAGCCAGACTCTCATCAACATTAAGTGCAGTAAGGAAGCAAGGCGGCTTGCATTTGGCATTGAGAAACTTTGACTTGTTATTATCTCCACAGTTAAATAAAAGCTGTTTGTAGTTCCAAGAAGGAGTTCAGACATGCCAAAGGTTTGGCATGCAATTGAAGCCATTTTATGAAAAGAAATACTTTGTGAACCAAATTCACAATTTCTCCTTTTTTTTTTTTTCTTTTTTTTTTTAAGACAAAAAAGTTCACCTTTGTTCCAATGTGCAGTAAAATTCACACAATGGGAAGAGTTCCAGCTGCTGGGGAGAGCTAGCAAAGACAGAGCTTTAATAGGTCTTCATCATTTGTTCCACAAAGCTGAACTGTGCAGAACAACCCATACAGCATGCCCAGAAAAAGCATTTGAAAGGATTATTGAAAACTTTGCTCAAGTAGAACCTGTGAGTTTGAGACCTTTACCAGACTCAGTGGAATAATTGCAAGCTAATTTAAGGGCTAGTCTGAAGACTGAGCAACAAGACACCATGCTGGGGGAAAAAAAGATACATTTCTTAATGTTCAGTAAATAGGCAGAAAAATCTGCTTTTACTGTCTGACGTTACACGGAGGCGGCAGTCAAAATTGGCTCCATTGGAACACGGTTTAAACAGCCTAGCTCTCATTTCAAACGGGAATATGACATGATTAAGATATTCCAAGTTATTGCATTTCTGCTTGTTTTTTCACCTTCTGTCCTTTCTATTTCTGACTTTTCTCATTGTCTTTCTCTTACCTTCTCACTTCTCTGTAGGCACTGATGTTCTTTACATCGGCCCCGTGAAAGGTGAGCGCCACCTCTTTAGGACTTTTGTGCCCTGTCTTCTGTGATTTTCTTGGTGTCTCCTTACCTGGTTTTCCTGTTCCTCTGAACTTGGACTTTTAGAGTTCTGAAGCATCAGATTAGTTCTTACAGTGTTGTCTCCAGTAGAAAACAAGTGTCCAACCTGAAGAAACACAGGAAGGTATATTCCATACCCAAAAGCATGGGTGTCTGAAGATTTTCGCATGGCTTAATCTCCCATGAATTTTCCACTTGTCTTGTTTTTCAAGGATAGATAAATTGAATCAGCTTTTCACAGAAAAGCATTACAATGTCCTATTTAGAAAAAAATTGCGTGACTGTTTTTTAAATCTACTTACTATATTGGCTTGTGTTAAGCATGCAGAAGTAGGGTGTGAACTAACTTCACTTGTTTATTCCTCTTACTGCTAGGAAACATATATTCAAGCCCTGGGCTTTATAGTAAAACTATGACGCCAACATACGATTCTCACGATGGAAGTCCTCTGTCTCCAACTTCAGCTTGGTTTGGAGATAGTGCTTTATCAGAAGGAAATCCTGGCATACTCGCTGTTAGCCAGCCAATCACTTCCCCAGAAATCTTAGCAAAAATGTACAAGCCACAAGCGCTTCTTGATAAAGCTAAGATCAACCAAGGGTGAGTTCAAGTCATATATTAAACGTTTAAATGGCATTTTTAAACATATTACAAAGATTCAGCCAGAACCTATATGTTTTCATTGATGATTTCCAGGTGGCTGGACTCATCAAGATCTCTCATGGAGCAAGAAGTGAAAGAAAATGAGGCCTTACTGCTTCGGTTCAAATACTACAGCTTTTTTGACTTGAATCCAAAGGTACAGAGTTATTTTTAACTCGCACATAAGGCCAAACTTTAAAAATGAGTGCCTGCATTTGTAGAGATAAATACTCAGTATCCAGGCTTTGAAGAAGTAATGCTGTACATGTCAAATGAAACGTATAGAGCAGGGGTCGACAACCCCCTGGCACGCATGCCGAGCATGGCACGCGAGGCCATTTTGCTTGGCACGCCACAGCCAGCCCCAGCTCTGGATAGCTGCTGCCAGTGACAGAGCCTGGGTTGCTCCCAGGAGGGCTTGCAGCGTCCCAGCTGCCTGCTGGAAGCAGCCCGGGCTCCTGGCTGGCAGCAGCTACCCAGAGCCGGGGCCAGCTGCACCTAGGCGGCTGCAAACAGCTGCACCAAGCTCCACAGCTCCAGCATCGGCTCCATGCTGGCGGTGACTGCACACCTCAGGGCGGGCTGCGCTGCTGTACGGTCTGCCCTGAGGTGTGCACGCGGTTACCGCCAGCATGGAGCTGATGCTGGAGCTGTGGAGCCTGACGTATCTGTTTGCAGCCTGCTAGCTGCAGGCCCGGGCTGGCTACAAACAGCTGCTCCGGGCTTCGGAGCCCAGTCACCAGCTCTGTGCCGGGAGTGGGAGAGAGACCGGGATTGCACTGCCTCAGGCCCCTCCCCCACTGCCTGCTCCGAGGTGCGCATGCATGCATCGGTACGGAGCTGATGCCGGGGCTCTGGAGCCCAGCGCAGCTGTTTGGAACCTCCCGGCTGCAGCTGGCCCCGGCTCTGGAGAGCTGCTGTTCAGCTGGCCCGGCTCTGGGTAGCTGCTGCCAGCCACAGAGCCCGGGCTGTGGGGCAAAGGGCAGCAGGGCTGGGGGGCAGGGGCTTTGGGTGGGGGGGTAAAGGGCACAAGCAGGGCATCCTGCCATGTGCCCCCTGTCCTCATTTTGTGTTTTTGGCATGCCGGCACTCTGGCACCTTCCAAGGTAGGCATTGTGAGGTTTTTTAGCACTCCAGCCAAAAAACGTTGCCTACCCCGGGTATAGTGCATCCCTTTACGTATGAGCCTTCTGCAAAACGAGCAGACTCTAATTGTTGCCACAGCTGCTGTAAAGAAATCCTGGTCGTTTCAGTGACAAAGGCTTTTAAATTTTTGGTTGTAAAATAAGAGTAATTTCTCTTTTATGCTCTTTTGAAAGTATGTGTACAGGGCCATGGGCCTTGCCTTTGAAGGGTGTTTTATAAATGTCTTGTGTTTATTTGTGTTATATCGTAGTATGATGCAATCAGAATCAACCAGCTTTATGAGCAATCTAAATGGGCTATTCTTTTAGAAGAAATCGAATGTACGGAAGAAGAAATGATGATGTTCGCAGCATTGCAGGTAAGAGACGGACTGCAAGTTGACTTCAATTGAATCAAATCCATTGCTTTTTTTCTAGAAAGATAGAAATTCAATGTACTGTAACTGGTGTCCTCTCTGTTGGGGAGCTAGAACGATTTGTTCTAGTGTAACTTGGCTTGTTTCCTATTCTCTAGTGTTTACTTAAACTTTTAGGTAATTTAAATATTTGCTGATTATTTCTTCTCATGAAAAGGAATTTGGATTGTTTTCTCTGAAGACGTTTATATCTATCTTGACTTTTATTTTTGCCTTCAAATAATACAAATAAGTACATTAGGTTACTGAACTGCATGTTTCTGGCACTTTGCCCCGGACAGCTGGTGGCAAACTATGGTCTTCCCAGAACTATTTCTTTATCTGCGTGCAATATGATGTGTATATTCCACATTCAAAATACACCTGAAAATGCTTCTGCTATTGACTTTAAGATGGATCGCATACCATTTCTAAGTGTGGTCTCAAGTTTGTCTGGCAGTCCACCCACTGCTGCATCTCAGCTAGGAGGCTGCAGAAGTATCTCCTGCCAAACCAGGACTGTATAGACTCCAGCTAGAGCTGGTCATTTTCCTAGGAAGGATAAAGAAAGCAAGACTGTCAAGGCTCCATCTAGACTATTTTTCCTTAAAAAGTAACCCAAGGTGGACTGTGTGTGACTTGCACTCTACAATTAATTGCATCAAATGGATAGAATGCTTCTCAGATAGAGAAATAAAAATGGTGTATGCTGTGTGGATGCTAATGCTTAATCAAAAGTTTTCTGGTTTCAGATGTATCTTATGACTATCAGGAGTTCTCCATTACAAGGTTCATAATTATGGTAGGGTTTTATATTGGTGGTGTGGGGTTGACAGTAGCAAGATTGCTAGCAGACTTACTGGAATCACTGGCTCTTTTTCTTTCTCAGGTGATAGGCTCAGTGCAAGTAGAAATAGATAGTGCGAAGTGAAGCATCTCAGCTGTGCTGTGCTGGATGCGTCCCAGCACAGCTGATCTGCTTCACTGGGGAAACGCACATCACCTCTTGTACGGCCTGGGGATGCTGTGGAACAACAGGCGACGTGTTCTGCCCAGGCTTGAGCAGCCTGGTCCTGCACACCTTGGGAATGCCCACACAGCACCAGGCCCCTCAAGCCCAGGGTTTCCCTGCTTACCAAGAGTATCCCTGGGATCCCTGGGGTGTGCTTTGGTAAGTGGGAAAACTCCAACTTTCCCTGCTTGCTGAGATGCAGCCCAGAAATCTGCGGGTGCATCTGGTAACTAGGAAAGCCAGGCAGCCCAGAAATCTGGAGGTGCATCTGGTAAGCAGGAAGGCATGGAAGTGGAAAGGGATCTTGGAGTCCTAGTGGACTCCAAGATGAACATGAGTTGGCAGTGTGACGAAGCCATCAGAAAAGCCAATGGCACTTTATCGTGCATCAGCAGATGCATGACGAACAGATCCAAGGAGGTGATACTTCCCCTCTATCGGGCGCTGGTCAGACCGCAGTTGGCGTACTGCGTGCAATTCTGGGCGCCGCACTTCAAGAGGGATGCGGATAACCTGGAGAGGGTCCAGAGAAGGGCCACTCGTATGGTTAACGGCTTGCAGACCAAGCCCTGCGAGGAGAGACTGCGGCACCTGGACCTCTTCAGCCTCCGCAGGAGAAGGCTGAGAGGCAACCTTGTGGCTGCCTATAAGTTCATCACGGGGGCACAGAAGGGAATTGGTGAGGTTTTATTCGCCAAGGCGCCCCTGGGGGTTACAAGAAATAATGGCCACAAGCTAGCAGAGAGCAGATGTAGACTGGACATTAGGAAGAACTTCACAGTTCAAGTGGCCAAGGTCTGGAACAGACTCCCAAGGGAGGTGGTGCGCTCCCCTCCCCTGGGGGTCTTCAAGAGGAGGTTAGATAAGCATCTAGCTGGGGTCATCTGAACCCAGCACTCTTCCCTGCCTATGCAGGGGGTCGGACTCGATGATCTATTGAGGTCCCTTCCGACCCTAACATCTATGAATCTATGTTCCTTGGGCTTGAGGGGCCCAATCTTGCCCAGGAATCCCTGGGGTGTGGAGGATCAGTCTCCCTACGCTCTCCCACCATAAAGTAAGCAGATATCTGCCGCTAAATAGCGGCACAAATTGATACAACTATCATTGCAGCCACTGTTTGTGGTGCAACAGTGGGCATGTTTATGGCGGCACAAAGGAAACAAAAGGGGAAGTTTCTTTCCAACAAGTATATTTTTTTGTTCCTTTTTTTTTTTCAGTTCAGCAAAAGAGAGAGTAGTTGATGCTAGAAATGCCATTCAGGCTATGGTAGAAAAGCTTCAGTAGACAGGGTTTGTAGTTTTTCATTCAGGCAGTCAGATTGTGGGCTCATCTGTTCTCCTTCAGAAGTACGTGCCATGGCAGATCTCGGGTCAGAAAGCTCTGTCCTCTGTTCTTCTGCACGTTGTCCTGTGATCTGGGTTGTCCCAGAGGAGCGCAGCCATGCTGGTTCATAGGTGGAGACAGGGCCTCTAGTGTAGGTGGGACTTCATTCATCAGCTGCTTTGTAGGCTTGTTTTTGGTGATCTAGATTTGTTGCAGAATCTGCACACTTTCCCTGGTTTCATCTTTGGGGAACATGGGTACTCTTCTAAACATACACAACACTACTTTTATTGTTAGGCAGTACAAAGAGGAAAGGCTGGATAACAGCAATTGCAAATAATTATTTTGAAATGGCAAGACCAGCTATTCCTGTTTTGAACCCTATATAATCTTCTGTTGCATTTTTTCTGGCATGTCTTAAACAGTGTGGCTAGAACAACATTTCTTTCTCAAATATGTGATTTAAGTTAATAGTTTGGGGTATTCTGTTACGTCTCCTTCCTGCAAAACCCAATGATATTGAGAGTTTACAGCAAGAGCTGAGATGTGGCTAGGTCTGCGTTATCAGTGCAGTGCTGAGAGTTAGTTAGTTAGCTATGTTAGTCTCAAATCAGGCAGAAGGCAGGTTAGATTCGTACCTTAAACTAGTGGGGCAACTTTTTTGGCACAAGTGCCATAAATTAAGCCCCATGCCCTCCCCAAGAGCCAATCTGATCCCATTCCCCTGCCTGATCTTCCACTTTGCTTTCTGCTTCCTACCTGATTTGCTGCTTGGTTTTCTGCTTTGCCACTGTGTTGCTTGCCCCTTCCCCAATCTGTCATATCATAGATGCAGAGATGCCACTTGTGGCATGTTGGCCACCTGTGTTATAGGCTAATTCAGAGAGGCAGCCGGGTCATCCAGCCCTGTTAGAGAGTGTATCCTATAGTGTCTCTGGGGAAGAGCTCCCAGAAATCATAAGACAAAGCAGCACGAGCAACTCTGAAAGAAGTGTTTTCTGAAATGTTTGGTCACGTGCTGAGCTGGAAGGGATGAGAATCAGCTGAATTGGTTTCACCAACGCTACTGAAGGGTTCATTCCCTATAGGAAGATAAGTTTTATATGGCCACATAAAGACAGTTTTACGGTATCTCATGCCCCTAACACACATGAGGTCCTCAGCAGTTCTTTGTTCACCAAACATTGTAAAGCTAAATATGTCTTAATTTGGTAGGCTAAAAACAGACATTGCATTTCTCCCGGGACAAAGCCTTCTATTTTGGGAACCTACAGATCCACAAGCCCATTGTCCTACTTCAAGTGTCTGAAGTACCAAAAACACTCTCTCCAGGACAGTGGGGAGAAATGGAGTAAATTGAGGTAATTGCCATTCAAACTGTGTGTGTAAATAGCTGTCCTGCACTTGTTTTAATGCAAGTCAGATTCTGGGACAGTCACACCCAAGATAAATCCCGCATCTATTATAAACTCAGGAGGAAAGGATGGGTTTATGACTAAGGCACTGGAATAGGACTCAAATCTGGTTTCTATTCTGGACTCAGTCACATTATATAGTCACTGTGTATGTGTCATCTTGGACAAGGAACTTGGGGTGTGTCTGCCCTGTCCAGTGCAATGCTGTGAAGAGGCGAGCTACTTCACTAGAAGCAGCACAGTCATATTTGTGCAGCAGTTCACCAGGCTAATTTACACTGATGAGAAGCAGAGCTAATTAGTCCCAGAGAAGCACTGTGCTGGCATAGCTAAATTGTTTCTGGTGCTCATCTGGCTTGGATGTCTCTTCATGCTGCTGCATTGTGTAACCTTACATTGGGGTGTTCAGAAGTGCTCAGCTTTGAGCTTATTCTGTTCCTGTTGAAGTTGACAATCAAACCCCCAGTTGACCTCCATTACCTTAGCTAGGCTCATGGGAAATACTTCTGCAATCCCAGCTTGTATCCCTATGCTTGAGATCTCCACGTGTAAAATGTATTGTACAGCTGGAGATGGAAGTTGTTACTGGTATCAGTTGAAGCGGAGGACTGTTCAGTACAGCTGACAGACCTTTATGTGATCGGTCAGGGTATAGGGCACTAACACGTTATCTTCTGGTTACTAACATTTGGAATGGCACAACACCCAAGTACATGGTTCACCAGGTGTTTCTCTGACTGCTGTTGCTGTGGTCATTCACAAGTATGATTTCCCCAAGCATGCTATAATACCATGGGTTTTGTTTGCTTTGATGACTGTGAATATGCAATTCCTATTCGGTCATAGAAGTGGCGTTCTTTTCTATTGTTTTTAAATTCTGTATTTTTAAAGGCAATTCAAGATTTGTAACTTCTGTTTCAGTATCACATCAACAAGCTGTCAATCATGTCCTCAGAAAATCACTTGAACAACAGTGACAAAGAGGTGGATGAAGTAGATGCTGCCCTTTCTGACTTGGAAATTACTTTGGAAGGTGGTAAAACATCCACTGTTCTGGTAAGTGTTGATGGCTGCTCAAAGCTGGCTAAATGCTAACAATAATGGGCAGGCTGGTGTGTCCAGCTACTCTAGGTTTGCTGGTGAAGCAACATCTCTCCTGTGGTCCTATCTTATGCTTCTCCTCTCTCCATTAAAAAAGCCTAATTTTTTCATCTCCTTTGTGTCAAAGTCTTTCCATATATCTAAGAATTGTTGCTGCCTTTTTTTTTCTGAATCCTTTCTATTCGTGTTGTTTGCTTTTGGGGGGAGGGGATGAACTAGAACTGAACATGATATTGCACAGTAACGTGAGAAATGTTAGCAGGTTATAAAGTGGTGTTTGGCATTATGTCCTAACCCTTAGATAATGCAACATAACACTCGTTGATCAACCCAGCAAGTTGAATAAGTAGGACTTTGTTGATCTGCTCACGGTGAAACTCTTTCTTTTCTGACTCTACTCCTCTGTAGAAATAACAATAAATTATTACTATAATTTATTTTAGTTGTAGCAACAAACTGAGCCTTGTATATTATTGGACACTAATCCATTAAGAACTGCAGTCTGTCTGTGTGGCTTCAAGGAAGTGGCGTTGTCCTCTTTAAGCTTTAGTTAACCCAAGTTGAAAATTGGGTGAAAACAGATCTCAGTAGAAGGCCTCCTGTATCAATTGAGCCATGTTACTGACAAAATACATTTCTTAAAATACCTACAGAGTCCAGAAAAACTCCACTTAACTTAAATTCTCTTTCAGCTATTTGCTGTTAAAATACTCCAGTAGCTTTTCTTTCACGATTCCCTCTTTTATGGACAAAGGTTTAGATTGATATTCACAGTTCTTTCTCAAAAGTAACTTCTTAACAGATAGTTGTGACAGTATAATTGGCATTATATTGCATCTTGTCCTTAACCTGACATGCATTTAACCATTTTTTTTCCTATGTACGTATCATGTGCTTTAAAAACACCTGTGGGTTTCATATGTTAAAGCTTCCAAAGCCCAGAAGCATTGAAGTACTTGTGCCTCTTCTATAGAGTCAAACAGTGAAAGAAGAGGAGCCAGATTCAGACCTGGTTATATCCATTTTCGTTCAGAAGAGCAACTCGGGTTAGGCAAATTTCACATGCTTATACTAGCTCTGAAACGAGCTAGTATTTTATGCTAAGCATAAAATACCCTAAAACCTTTTTGTCTTAAGTTTTATTAAATATGCTTTTAAATTGGTAACAGTGGATTTTGAGATCATCATACCTCTTTAACTTGGGTATTGTTATTAATATGAATTTTAGAAGTAGGAGGAAAAATATTTCCTAGCTGTTACATAAATAGTAGCTTTCTATAAAAAAATAAATAAATAAATAAATAAAAAAACCGGGGGGGTGGGTAGGGACCTCTTTGGATTTCTCTGAAACATCGGTGCCAGGTGAGAAATTACAAAACGGTTGCATCGAATCAAGTTGCCCATTTCAGTAACTGTCTCAGTACAATCCATATCTTAGTAAATGAATGTGCAGCATACTGGACAGTTATAAAATAGTTTGGCCATAATAAACAGCAAAGGCCACAGTACTGTTTCACCTGTGCATGTGAAGAATTCCAGAAAGTCTGTACAGAAATGACTTTCAGAATTTAGTATATGTAATAGTCAGGTGCCTGCTGTTTATAGTGGATATATATATATATATTTTTGTACTCCTTCTGTGAAATAAACTGTATTCTGAGAAAATACAGGCTGCAGTCAGTGAGCCCTGGGCATTTGACAGTGCAGTTTTGTCAAGCTTTTTTTCCTTCATAACCAGAGGAATTGCTTTTGAGTGATTGTAGGGCATTGTCCAAAAAACTGAATCAGTGCCTCTAAAGTCTTCTCCTTGCTGACCCACCTATCTTAGAACTGAGTCTTGCATCTGACAGATGAATGAAATGAATGATCTTTTATTTTCAGGGTGACATCACTTCAATTCCTGAGCTTGCCGACTACATTAAAGTATTCAAGTAAGTACTAATGGGAAAGAGACACTGGTGAAAGTGATAATATCAATGAATAATTAATTATAATACTGCATAATACTCATTCTTTTTTACTGTCTTGAGATTTTACTGCACACTACTACTACTTTGATTTGCTTGCAATGTCATCTCATCTAGCACTTTGATGGTATGCTGTTCTAGCTAAAAATACCACGGTGCTCGTGATATTACAACTTTGTTTATGCTTGATTTGCCCAGCACCTAGCCAGGGTGCTCTGCTCCTAATCTAATTGAAATCACTCTACTACAACTTTATTTAATATTGTAAGACGTTCATTCAGTTCTTCAGATGAAAGCTTGTATTTTCTAATGTTTCGTCCTCAAATGCATGTATACACCCTCACTTCAGAGTGGGTGAAAGAGAATTTCCTGCCTACTCTTAGCTAGTGGCTAGTGCTGAAATGTTTGTGTAATGAAGTTAATGCCAGTAAGTTAATCAGGCTCTCCTAAATTTAGCTATGTGACTCTATCACCTAGCTAGAAACTTCACTCAAGTGCTTTTCTTGGTTTGAGAGAGGCTCGGTGACTAACAGACGAGTGGGATTCTGCCTGCTTGTTCTCTCCTAACTGCTAAAAGGAATAGATTTAAGTTAACTGCATCGCTCTTCCTTTTCACTGAAGAGTGGATTTTTTTCTGACTTGGATCATGATGCATGGAAACTGGGAACAGTCATGTCTGGACCTGAGTAATATTTTGGCAGTCACAGCTCTCTCTTGCAATTGAATGCGTGCTGCGTTTAGAATATGATGAAAGTTCTGGAAACTGGGAATAGATGTAGATCCAGCTTTCGTGGGTTCGGTGCCACACCAAAAGCAAAAGCATTTGCAAAAAGTAGCATTGTGAAGAACCTTTCTTCTATATACTGGCTTGATTCTGGAGCCAGAGCATATCCCATGAAATCTCTTGCTCATCTTACAATACGTATTTATCAAGTTAGCTATGCCTGGCTAGGCCTGGGTCACTCTAGTCCCTATTTGATTCCTATACCGTGGTTTCGGGGCTGGAATCTCTGTTCATGTAGGTTGGGGTCAGCAACCCCTGGCGCACGTGCTGAGCATGGCGCACAAGGCCATTTTGCTCGGCACACCACCGCCGCCAGCTCTAAGCAGCTACTGCCAGCCACAGAGCCCAGGCTGCTCCCAGCAGCCGAGAGGCCCGGGCGCCGAGGGGGAGCCTGCAGGCCCTGCTGCAAGCAGACTGGACTCCATGGGCTGGCTGCAGCCGGGAGGCTGCAAACAGCTGCTCTGGGCTCCGGCGAGTTGGCACTCCAGCACCTTTCAAGGTAGACATTGTGGTGTTTTCGGCACTCCAGCCAGAAATGTTGCCTATCCCTGACGTAGGTGAATGTTTTCTCCTTTTTAAAAGAGTCTTAATTGTCACTACTGTGTAGTATACTTTTGTTAATAAAATTGACACAATTGAAGAAGCTAGTTAACTGCTAATTGGAGTTCTAATCAGGAGCAATCGTGGTGTATTGTTTGGAAGTAGTTTCATGAGACTCCCTCAGATCAGTGGGATGGAGGAAAGGAGAGGTGAATATTTTGAAGCTTTCTGAATACTCCTACCATATTTACTTGAATCTGAGATGAGGATTTTCCCCCAATCAGCATGGGGGGAAGAGCCCCTTGGCTTAGATTCATGCACAAAATGGAGCTGGGGCAGGAGGCGGCTGTGGATCTGGCTCAGCCCTGAGCCCGGGTCGGGGCCAGAGTCCAACCCACAGCAGCTTCCTACCCCCAGCTCTGCTCCCCCTCTTCAGGCTCTGCCCTAGTACCCCACTCCCTTTTACCCTCACTGTTAGCCACAGCTTGGCTCTGGCTGGGTTCTTTCCTGGGCACAGAGCAATGGGAAGTCCTTCCCCTGCCTGGGCACTCGGCAGTGCCAACACTGCGGCATGGCCCGGCAAGGGCTGAGCTTCCACCTGGTGGGCTCCAGAAGGGGAGGGAGGCCTAGCAGCATCTGACAGTAAGGGTGGGGAAGGTGGAGGGGAAGAAGCAGAGCCTGGGGAGAGTGG